ATAAAATTCCTTAAATCTTCGAGTCCCCTTTACATTATGTTAATTATCCTTATTATGTTTATAATTTTAAACAATAAATTGTTGTTTGGTTTTGAATTTTGAAAAATAAATTATAAAAAATTCATATTACTGGGAAATTTTGTGTCATTTGTTTTGTTTTTTTCAATAAATACACGTATTTTACACAATAAATAATTATCGATTATGTTTTATTTTTAATAAATATTATAATAAATAAATATTAATTTAAATAATTCACATTTTAATTATTACAAAGAATTCAAAATGAATCAACATGAGATGAGAGAGAGTGAGAGAAATTGAGTATGGGGCAGACGACAGACAAGAGAATGCTCAGATTCTCCCATCCTCATTATGTACGCTTGTTAAAAAATCAAAAATAGCGCAACTCTAATTACTCTCATTTTACCAATGAGAGAGAGAAATGCACAAACTAGTAGTCATTTATGCACAACATAGTACGATATCGTGGATGATTAAACACGTATACTCTTTTTCCTTTTCTCGCCAGTCATTTTTGATGCTCATTTCTCAATTACACTCTCACACGCTTACTCTCAATTTAGTTCTGTTCAGTAGTGATCTAAACTTTGTTAAAGTGGGCAATCTTGAAATAACAGACGGCATTACATTATATTGTTCTGTTTCCGTACTTGAAGAATCTAGGAAATTTTTCTTATCATAGTAAAAATTAGTAGATTCTTGCAGTAAGGGAACATACCACTTATAAACAGCATAAAAGAGTGGTGTAGGTCCGTTAGTTCATTTGAACTATTCCGTAAAAGAAACAATCGGAACTAGGTCCAGCTCTTCATTTCCTTTAGTTCCACTAGTTTATCTAGTTCACTTATAGACTTGTTATCTCGGCTCTTCATCAATTTTCCGATGCAGTCAAATTTCAATTTTGTGAACGAAAAAATGAAGAAAGTGAGAGACTCGACGGAACTTGAACTATATATATATTATTCTGGACTATATGCATCGAGAGAACTACTAGTTCCTTTCTCCAAAAGGAGGGAGAAAAAGAGACTGGTTGTTGTTATGTTTACTTTTGATTGTGTGTGTGCTCTATTCGAATCGGTGAAAAATAATATTGGGTATAGTTCTTAAGTTCCTATTATTCCATTAGTTTATCTACCTCTCTTATTTAATTTTTTTCTTCCTTCATTCTTTTTCAGATGCAAAGCATTTGCCAATTTACTAGGTGAACAAAAATTCTGAAAGTTAGAGACTGTATAGGATTCGGAACTATGTGCAGCGAATGAAGGAACTAGTTCCTTTCTGCCAAAGGAAGAAGAATGATCGACCCGATCCATTAACTAGATTACACACAAGTGCCTGACTTTTGGTGTCTTTACTTTCAATTATGTATGTGACCTATTCGTCTTCACGTGTGCTCTATTTTTCTCACCATTGTTTTAAACTAGTTCCTTTATCTAAAAGGAGAATGATCGATCCGCTCCGTGAACTAGATTGCACAAAAGCTGGATGTTCCTTTTGTGGTGATGTCATTTATTTGACGATATTCTAATGCCTGCGATTTAGAACTAAAATGAGAGTTATTTGTAGCAAGTTCGAATGAACTATTCCGCAGTGCTAACGAACGATGCTGGGTCTGCTTTTTTCGTTAATCTAGTTATTATGAGTACTTTCGGTTGTGTGTGTGCTCTGTTCGACTTCACATGCGCTCAATTTTCCATCATTATTTTAGGTCAAAGAACCTCATTTACAAATTTCACTCACTGAAAGTACAAGTGAGGAGGAGATTTGGAACAAAGCGAACTAGTTCGGAGAAACTATTCCGCAGTGGGAAAGATCTGTGCTGGGTTCGCTTCTTTCGTCCATCTAGTTCCTTTATTGCTTTTGTTCACCAAGTTCCTTTAATACAATCGTTCTTCTCGTTCATTTAACGCATTACAATTTTCTCTTACTGAAAGTACAAGTAAGTAGTAGATTTGAATCGTTCCGGAGCGAACTAGTTCAAAGGAACTATTTCGCAGTTGGAACTATCTGTGCTGTTTCCGGTTCTTTGTGATTGATTGAACTAAATGGAACTATGGAGCTAGATGTTCCTTTTGCGGTGGTGTCATTTATTTGACGATATTCTAATGCCTGCGATTTGCAACTAAAATGAGAGTTATTTGTAGCAAGTTTGAATGAACTATTCCGCAGTGCGAACGATCGATGTTGGGTCCGCTTTTTTCGTTCATCTAGTTCCGTAATTGCTGTTATTTGCCTAGTTCCTTAAATTGAATCGTTCTTCTCGTCCACTGAACGCATTAACAATGTACGATTGAACTAAATGGAACTAGATGAATTTCGTTTGCAGAGCGAAACCGAAAATAACGAATCACTTCAGGAACTCAACTCAAGTGAGGACAATTTACATACCACCAAGTGCATACAATGTCAGTTATTTGTAGCATGTTCGTTCTGGGTTACTAAAATTATTGTATACGTACTGGTTGCATTCCTTTCAACTTCATTTCTCTCTCCTTCTGTTACCTCATTTGTGATTTGAATTCCGGAAAATCTTTCTTAAATAAATTCTTTGTAATAATTGTAATTTTGTGTTTTTTGTTTCTTTGTCTTAAAATTAATATAAATAATAACAACAATTAAATAAATATTGTTTTCTTTCATAAATATACAAAACTTAAAATGAAATGATATGAATATAAGCTTCTCATGTTGTATTATAATTAAAATTAAATAAAATATATATGCAAAATTGTTTATTTGCAGGCTAGAAGAATAATTACGGATGGAAGGCCTTTGAAGTCAACAGGCGTATTGACCACAGTATGTTAGGATTTCATATCTTGTCGAAAGGTCTTCTATTTGAAGATAAGGTGTCCTATTAAAGACAAAGTCTTTTCGCTCCATAGAGTTTCAGAGATCCATTTTATTGATTTTTAAATCAGTCAGTGTTACACAAAGAATTTCCAAGGAAAATTTCGATGAAACTGATCTCAAAGGGTCTTACTACATATTTTATGGTATTACTAAGGCTTTGGGTATCCTTGTTTTTGTATAATTTTCACTTGAAAAAATTTTTAATTGTTTCAAACATTATTAAATGTTGAGAAATCTCTCTCTTATCGCCTCTCAGGAATAAGTGAATCGTTAATTACTAGTTCATGGGTTCCTTGCAGTGAATTATTCGATTGAACTAGTTAGTTTTTTAATGTTTCAAACATTATGAAACTCTGAAAAATCTCTTTCAGGGAAAATTCAGAATTTGGCATAAGTAAATCGTTCATTACTAGTTCATGAGTTCATTCCAGTGAACCACTTAAGTGAACTAGTTAGTTTTAGTGATTTTACTGTTAAAATGGGTTTATGAAGGCATTAGTCTCAAAATTTTAAGACTTAATACGAAAAACTAAGATTTCAAGGATACACTTCACGCATTTTAACGATTCTTAAATTCCAAGTCTGATTTGACATCATTTTCAATTTCAGGACAATTTGAATCAACTTAATATTGAAAAATATTTAGTGAGCCGGTTTAAATGGAATTCTGAAACTTTTGTCGTTTTTATGGGACACTGCCCTAAAAATTCCTGATTTAGAGATATTTGCTGAAATATTCAGATAGTTTTGTATAAGTGGCGCCCAACGTCTCCATTTGACCTTCTTCCATAAAACATAGAAAAAAATATTAAAACATTGCATCCATTTAATGTATTTTTTTTTTTGTAGTTGACTTAAGTTTTGTGTTTTGATTTTCTTTGTTTGGTTTTTGTTTTGTTTTCAGAGCTTTACCCTTTAAGCTTTTAGTTTTCCTCCTGGAGAAAAAAGAGAAAACAAATTACCTAAAGAGCATATAAGGTTTGTATTATAGCGTATTGTTGTTGTTGTTCTTTTTTAGCTTTGGTATTCAGAGTTTAATTTCATGTTTTATTTATGATTTCTTTTCGTTTTTTACTTTATTTTAGTTGTCTAGAATAGTAATTCTGGTATTTTTTTCATCATCATTCATTTATTTCTTTTCATAGCTTAAAAGCGTTTTGAGTAGTAAGCTGCTCGTTTAATGATTTTTTATTCATTATTTTTTATTAGTTTTAAATATATAGTTTTTTTGGGAGTTGTTTTATTTGCAATTGGAATTTGTTGTTGTTTTTGTTTTAAGAAGAAGAAGAAAGTAAGAAGGAATTTGATTAAAATGGAAATAATTTTGAGAGAAAAAAAATCAATACACAGTTATCAACTCAATTGGACTAGGGTTCGAATTTCAAATGTTTGTAATTGAATTTCATTTTAATGCTCCAGTTTGATCTTAGACTAACAATGTTAGTGTTGTTAGCCGAACCCTGTGTATTTTAATTTTTATTTATGTAAATTGATATTGAAAGAAACTTCTTCCTTTCTGTCTTTCTTTTTTCATTGTAGGAAATAATAATTTATGTTTTTTTAATAATAATAATATTTTTTATTTGTTTTACATTAAGTTTTTTTGTTGTTGTAGACTTAAAACTAAGTTTTTTTATACGAGATTTATTATTTTTTTGCATTACACACAATCAATGATTCTTTATATTTTTTTGGTTTCCTTAGTATCTCTCTAAACAAGAACGACGTTTAATGTTAGTAAAAGAAAATATCTTTGTTGTTGTGGTTTATTTGAAAAAAATTATCCTTATTTTTCAATATTTGTTTTTTAATTTAGTTTTTTTTTGAAATGTTTGTATGGCTTTTTAAAGTTTTGATGTATGGAGTGAATGAGAATTATTGTGTGTGTGTTTGTGGGGGGAGATTTCTGAAATTGCTTAGCTTTCAAATATCAATGTTTTTGAATCTCTTATTGTTGTAAATATGTTTGTGTAAATGTCGACTTAACAGCAGTCATCTGTTAGTTTACATTAATATATCCTATTGTTGTTGTTGTTTTTATCTGTTTTTGTGAGGGTTCAGAGCCTGGGAAGAGGGTTAAGAGTTTTGTTGGTTGTTTATTATTGTTATTATTGTTGAAGATTTTGTTTTCATAAAAATTTCTTGGGATTTTTTTTTTAATTTGTTTTGTTAAATATTCATCTGAATAATTTGTTGTTGTTGTTGTGGTTTTAATTTATAAGTAATTAAGTGTTACTGTTTTTTGTGTTCATAAATTTCTGCAGATGTTGTTTACTCTTTTACTTCAAAATATTTGTAAGTGGGATTTTCGTAGCCATTGATTTGCATACTCGGCACGATTTTCTCTTCGGGGACCACAGGATGATGGGCGGCGGCATTCTGAAAATAAATGAGAAAAATCATGATTTTTTAATTTTTTCAATTTAATTGAAATTATATTTTATAGACCATATGGGCGAGAATTTTGTAAAAATAATTTTTAAAGGAATATATATTAGCGAACCTTTTTCCAAAAATACTTTAAGGTATAAGTGTAATTATTTTTAAATAAATATTTAAAGGTGATCTTTTTTAATGTTTTTTGTCTTATATTGGGGTCGATACTTTTAAATATTTTTCTTGGGCCATATTTAGACGAGAATGTTTTTTTTTTAATATTTTCCTAGGACTATTCAAAGCGAGAAGATTTAGAAATATTTTTTATAGGTGAGAATTAAAAAAAAATATTTTAGGAACCCTCTTATAGCATGAATTTTTAAAAATATATTGTTTTATGGGCGAGGATGTTAAAAAAAATATTTTTTTTTTGTATAAAATTTTTATAGAAGCCAGATATAGACGTAGATTTTTTTCTTCCGACGTTTATTAATTTAAATTATTTTAAGGACTAGATATAAGGTTTCAAGGTAATGATTAAAAAAGTCTAATTTAGCTCAGATTTTTTCAAAAAAATTTTTTGGAACCAGATTTAGGAGTGAATTCTTTAAAAAATATTAAAAAAAACAGTAAGGAAAGTAGTAAAGTCGGACTGGGCCGACTATATGATACCCTTCACCACTTTGGGTATGTTGTACATATGAATCCTCACAATTGCATGTCACTGTTACTGTTAATTTCATTCGGGTAGATTTAGAGTAGTCTGCGTACCATGTAACGAATTTATGGAAAAGGATTTATATCAAATTCAGTATGCCGCACTGTTAAAAATTTAATTTCAATCAGACACCCGTTCGAAATACATATGGAAGTTATGGCTGCATCTGTATCTGCACCAATTTCAACGAAACGCAATAACGTTATTCAAGTCTCAATTTGATACATTGTGCAAAATTTCATGTTAATCGAACAAACGTTAGGAGTTTGGTGCAGCATTTATGTAAAATCGGAGGAATACATATACATATGTTGGACCCATATCGAAATCTGAACCGATTTTCCGGAAACATCAATCTAGACTCAATTCTAGAATGATTACTCTATTACTCTATGCCACATTGCGTGCAAATCGAAGGATATATTGGGACTTTGGTGCACAATTTACATAAAATCGGACAAAAATATATATGGGAGCTATATCTAAATCTGAACCGATTTTCCCGAAACTTAACACAAATAACTCTAGACTTCATTCACTACTCTATGCCAAATTTCGTGCAAATCCAAGGATATACAGTGACTTTGGACCACTTAGATAAAATCGAACGAAAATATATATGGGAGCTACATCTAAATTTGAACCGATTTTACCGAAACTTACCACTCATCATTTTCAGTACGCTATGCCAAATTTCATGCAAATCGAACGATATATAGGGACATTGGTGCAACATTTACATAAAATCGGACATATATATATATATATATAAGAGCTATATCTGAATCTGAACCGATTTTCACGAAATTTTACACACATCTTTCTAGACTTAATTTAGTACGATATGCCAAATATGGTACAAATCGAAAGATATATAGGTACATTGGTGCACCATTTACCTTAAATCGGACGAAAATATATATGGGAGCTATATCTAAATCTGAACCGATTTTTTCCAATTTCAATAGGGTTCGTCCTTGGGCCAAATAGATGAGCTGCGCCAAATTTCATCCAATTCGGAAAATAACTGCTACCTGTACTTTGTTTACAATTTAACATGGACAGACGGACGGACATGCATAAATCGACTCAGAAAGTGATTCTATGCATATTCTCAAAAGGAACCATGGGTCTATCTCGTTTCCTGTTACAAACATATGCACAAAGACATAATACCCTGTACCACAATGTGGTGAAGGGTATAAAATATTTTTGAGGGATATTTTAGCGAACAAGATTTACGAGTGAATTCTTAAAAATATTATTTCAAGGACTGTCTGAGGTTTGATTTGTCAAAAATATATTTGTAATCTAACCGAGGCGTGGATTTTAATTTTTTTTATTTCAAGTGAATTCTTTAAACATATTTCTTAAGGTCTATTACGCTTGGATTTGTCGAAGATATATTTATATATTTTGAAGCCATATTAAGGCTGGATTTTTTAAAAATATTTGTTTCGAACCATATTGACGTTGATTTTGTAAAAATATTTTTCCAAAGGCCTACCTTAAGCATGGAATTTGTAAAAATACTTTTTAAATTCTGCAGAGGCCTCTTTTTAAATATATTTTCCAAGAAATCAAATTTCAGGGGCTTAAATTTTAAAAAAGTATTACTCCCAAGAAATCATTTTCTTGAAACCATGAGATATTTTTCAAGGATTATCTGAATCGTGTATTTTTTAAACATTTTTTCAGGGACCATCTAAAGAATGGATTTTATAAAAATATTTTAGGCGACTATCTAAAGCGTTGATTTTTTAAAAATCATTTTTCTAGGATTGTATGTAGCGTCAATTTTATAAAAATATATATTTTTTTGGTGACTATCTTAAGCACGGATTTTTTTAAAAAGTATTTCTTTCAAGGGCCATCTGATGCATAGATTTAAAAAAAAATTGTTTTTTAGGATTGTCTGAAGCGCGGATTTCTAAAAAATATTTTTTCAACGTTTATCTGAAGCGCGGAATATTTTTTTAAACCTTCTTCGGGTTGGATTTTTTAAAAAATGGCCCTACGGATTTTTTTAAAAATATTTTTTTTAAGATTTTAATAAAGATTTCAGGTGGCCTGAGCGTGAATTTTTAAATAAAAATTATAAGATTATCTGAAGCGTAAAATTATACTTAATGTTTATTAATTTTTTTACCACCACTCACCTGATCAACTTCAATAAAACCTTGCGCATGTGGTGAACGTGCTGTTCTCCATTTGGCAACAGCAATGCCCACAAAGATGGCAGCCATAAGAGCAATGCCAGCAAAGGACAAAGTGAAGTAGACATTACGTCCCTCCTTATTCGCGTGCGCAGATGATACATGAGAGAAGTCTCTGCGCAGAGAGAAGCTCTGTAATGAAAAAGGATATGCTTTAGGTAAATAGGGGTACAAGGAGCGTACACGAAATACCGATTCGCGATGGCCCAAATCGTGTGTCATGAAATGCTGGGCGGGTGCTTCAGCTTCCTGATGGGCAACGGCAGCAGCAACCTCTTCGACAGTACGCTGAATGGCGTCATTATCCACGGTGGGCTGGATGGTTTGGGTTTTGGTGCTAAAAAGTTGGAAAACAAGTTGAAATGTTAAAAGAAGAAATAGTGAGAAATTTTCATAACAAACCTGAGTGTGGCTTCAACATATTCTTCGGCTGCTGAATCCTTGTCACTTTGAGCCATTTTTGTGGGATCGACCATGGTCTCATCTTTGCTAGTCTTCGACTCTTCACTGGTGAATGCCTGCGAATCCTGTTCAGCCTTAACCATATCATCGACCTTTTTGGCTTCCAAGCGCAATTTCTCTTCACGCAACTTCTCACGTTCGGCGGCTCTCTGTTCCTTGCGTTGTTTCTCGGCCAAACGTAGACGTTCCTTTTCGGCTACCTTACGTTCGATTTCAATGCGATATTTATCCAAAATGGCAGCTTCAGCTTCTTCGCTCATGCCCAAAGAGGAGCCGGGAATGTCATCTTTGCTGCGCAAAGCCAAAATGTAATCGTTCATCAATTGAGAGATTTTGTTGGACAATTCGGGGTAACGCTTGAGCATGGTCATGGATTGGTTGACGGCACGATCGATATCGATGAGACGTTCCAAGGTACGTGGTCTTTCAGAGGCAGCAGCTTCTAAACCGCCGGCGCCACCAGAGTTCAACAAGTGGCGGTAGTGGGCCAAGGCATGGGCACGATCCTTGTGGAGAGCACGCAAAAGTTTCTGCAAGCATTTCTCAACGTGGTGAGCCTGTGGAGGGGAATAAGGACATTTTCGGTGTTAAATATGAGGAAAAAATCCTGATACATATCAGGGCCGATTTGAATTTACTCGCCGTCTACTTACATTTGGTGGTTGCTCAGTCAAGGCCTGTGTATAGCAGGTCATGGCTTCACGTTTACGCTGATTGATGTGAGCGAGAACACGTTGCTGGTGCATGGCCGCCAATTGATGTTTCTCAGCATTGCCTTCTTCTTCGAGTGCCTGAACAGAAGTCTAAAATTACATTCCCATATAAAGATATATTGCACATTTAAGAGAGAAAGAGTATCAGAATGATGTCGATATACTTCTGATTTCGATTAATGACTTGTCGGGGTGATATAAAATTTTGAACATTTTTTTTCTTGTTCTTGGCAGCTACAAATTAATATTGCATTTCGGTTTTTGTTTTCTTATTTCGATTTGGTATTTGGTGTGTTGATGATGTACTAATTAAGCAAAAAAATTTTAAAGCCTAAATCTCTAACAAAGGAAAAAATTATATTTTCGGCATATCTACAGTGCAGGTTAGCAGGTTTATGTATATAAAGCCACTGGGCAGGGTTATTTCTGTCATGCAGAATTATGATTCGTTTCTGTGATGGATTTGCATTTGAAGTGGACCAAGGTGTGTATTGAAAGTGCCGGGTGGTTGTGGTGTTCGTTGGGGGGTTGTTGCCAAAAAGAAATTAGAAATACCGTACACTTGAATGTGAAAGTGTGATTTTTTTTGTAGTGAAATGACGTGAAAGTGATGAGAGAGAGAGCACCTAATTCAGACAAATACAAATACGTATTATGCTCAAATCCTAGAGTGCTGTTAAAATATGGGTTATTTATACCTTTCGCGTCTGGACCTTTCTGCTGTTAAAGTTTTAGATAATTACTAAAAAATCTGTAAAATTTTTGGTGTCAGATTTAGGTGGACATAAGCGTGGATTTTTACAAAATATTTTTAGGGACCAGCTATAATCGACTTTTACGATTTTTTTTTAAATATGTGTTTAAAGACTTCCGCATTCGTGATTTTGTATAAATATTTGCTTAATGACTTCCCGATGTGTGGATTTGTTCAAAAATAGGATTTTCCGTGTGGCGGATTTTTAACCCTTTGTGGCCCAATGTTGCCCACAGGCAACAAAATATTTTAGAGCTTATATTTTATATGCAGCTATTAGATATGTATTATTTGGATTTCATATGTCAAGACCTGATTATGGACGACACATATCAAAAGAAAAATCAAAAAAATTCAAAATTTTGGTAAAGTTATGAGCTTTTCAATATAGAGAAGAATGTAAATTTGTGTACAGTACTAATTTGTGTATACAGCCCAAATTATTTAAATCTCTTCGTATTAAAATTGTACAAATTCTGTCCTCAGAATTATTTTTGATTCTTGTAAAATTGAATATAAAGAATAATTTAAAATGATTTTTCTGACGATTTTGCATTTGGTTTTCTTGATATTGGACTTTAAATTTTCCGAAAGAATGTACTGTATCTCCCGAATGCAAGGATATATCGATGTCAAATTTTGTGCATATCCTATTTATGCATTCCGAATGCAAGGATATATCGATGTCAAATTTTGTGCATATCCTATTTATGATAGTTGCATTAAATCTGTGAACAGAAATTTGTTCTAAGATTGCGGAAAAAAATTCGGGGCTCAAAGGGTTAAAAACCTTTTTTCACAGATTATCCGAGGAGAGGATTTTTTCTCAAAAACTAACTGCTGCGTGGATTAAAAAAAATATATTTTTTCAAGAATTATCCTAGACGTGGATTTTTTGAAAATATTTTTTTAAAGACTTCTCGAGGCGTGGATTTTTTGAAATTATTTTTTAAAGACTTATTTTTTTAAAGGCTTGGATTTTTTTAAAAAAATTCTTTTAAAGACTTGGATTTTTTGAAAATATTTTTTAAGTATTATCGAAGACCTGGGTTTTGAAATATATTTTTTCAATGATTATCCGATGTTTGGATTTTATAAAAATATTTTTTAGGAATTATGAGAAGAAATGATTTTATAAAAATATTTTTTTAGGAAATTTCGGATGCATGGATTTTTTAGAAATATTTTTTTCAATTAAAAAAAATTGAAGACTTGTGGAGGCGTGGATTTAAAAAAAATTAAAGAGGCTTGGATTTTTTTAAATATTTTTCAAGAATTATTCGAATCGTGGATTTAAAAAAAAAATTCAGACTCATCCGAGGTGAGGATTTTTTTCTATTTTTCTAAAAAATATATTTGTTTCAAAGATTTCCTAATTTTGTACAGGCAATGTAAGGTGTGGGTTTTTTACAAATATGCTTATTTAAGTCGTGGATTTTTTACAAATATTTTTTAAAGATAATTTTTTTTAAAAAAATTTTTTTCGAGACTTGTCCGAAGATCGATTTTTTAAATTTTTTTCAAGGCTTAGTCAAAGTAAAATTTTTTTTATATATTTAAGACAGTTATTTCAGCTTGAATTTTTGAAAAAAGACATTTCGAGGGTTATTTGAACCTGGATTTTTCAAAAATATTTTTTTAAGGAAATGTATTCAATTTCATTTTCAAGGAATATTTTTGACATGGTTTTTTAAAAAATGTTGTTTTTTTCAAAGGCCCCTAAGAATTGAATTTTTTTAAATATTTTTTTAATTCTATAAGAAGGTTGGGTTTTTTAAAATTATGGTTTTCTAAGGGTATCAAAAGCGAGAAGGTGAAAAGTGTCTTAAAAATCAAAGGCCATCAGAAGCGTGTTTTTTAAATATTTGTTCAGAGACAGAGATCGTATTTTTAATGTCTAATTATTTTTTCAATTAATTTTTAAGGACTGTTTGAAGGCCGATTTTTTCTTTTTAAATTTTATTTCAAGGACTTCGAGGAATATCTGAGGCTTGAAAATTTGAAAATATTTTCAATTGTACAGATTTTTGATTTTTTAAGAGGCTTTGTTCATTTTTTAAATATATCTGAAGCGTGGATTTTTTTAATTTTTTTTAAAAAACAAATTTTAGTTGTTGATTTTTAAAACAATTTTTTGAAGACCATTTGATGCTTGAATTTTTTAAAAATATTTTTTTCAAGGACTATCTGTGTCTACGTTTTTTAATATTTTTTTGAAGACCATTTGAGACGTGAATTTTTTAAAGAATAGCTGAGGCTTTAAAAGATTCTTTGAGTTGTTAAAAATATTTTTTTTTCAAGGACACTCTGAGTTGTGGATTACCATTGAGTTGTGTTTATACCCTTCACCACACTGTGGTAGAGGGTATTATGTCTTTGTGCATATGTTTGTAACAGGCAAAAATAATCGAGATAGACCCATGGTTCCTTTTGAGAATATGCATAGAATCACTTTCTGAGTCGATTTATGCATGTCCGTCTGTCCGTCCGTCTGTCCGTCCGTCCGTCCGTCTGTCCGTCCGTCCGTCCATGTATTTTTGTTAACAAAGTACAGGTCGCATTTATGATCCGATTTGGATGAAATTTGGCACAGGTCACTTAAGTGGCCCAAGGACGAACCCTATTGAAATTGGAGAAAATCGGTCCACGTTTAGGCATAGCTCCCATATAAGGGTACCCCAAAATTTTCGGTATTTTGAGGTTCTTGAGCGCGTTTTTTAACTGAATTCGCTGAAATTTGGTAGTTTGAGTTCTTATTGGGTAGCAAATCTCCCTACCAAAAATTATAAATAAAGGTCCATTCTTTCGGATAGCCCCCATATAAGATTACCCCAAATTTTCGGTATTTTGGGGGTTTTGAACGCATTTTTCGACCGAATTCGCTGAAATTTGGTACTTTGTGTTCTTATTGGGTAGCAAGTCTCCCTAACAAACATTACAAATAAAGGTCCATTTTTTCGGAAATCCCCATATAAGGGTACCCCAAAATTTTCGGTATTTTCGGGTTCTTGGGCTCATTTTATAACTGAATTCTCTGAAATTTTGTACATTGTGTTCTTATTGGGTACCAAATTACTCCACTAAAAATTATAAATATACGTCCAGTTTTTCTGGTAGTCCCCATATAACGGTACCCCCAAATTTTTGGTATCTGGGGGGTTCTTATCGTATTTTTCTACCAAATTGACTGTAATTTAGTATGTCGAGTTCTTATTGGGTAGCACATCTCTCCACTATAAATTATAAATATTGGTCAATTTTTTCTGGTAGCCCCCATATAAGGGTACCCCCAATTTTCGGTATTTTGAGGTTCTTGAACCAAATTCTTTTTTTCTGGTACAGGTTATTATGTCTTTGTGCATATGTTTGTAAAAGGCAAAAGGAAACGAGACATACACATGGTTCCTTTTGAGAATATGCATAGAATCACTTTTTGCGTCGATTTAAGCACGAAATTTGGCACAGCGTAACAAATTAGGTCTAGAATGATGTGTGTTAAGTTTACTGAAAATCGGTTCAGATTTATATATATCTACCATATATATTTTCGTCCGATTTAATGTAGATGGTGCACCAAAGTCCCTATATATCTTTCAATTTGCACGAAATTTGGCACAGCGTAATGAATTACGTCTAGAATGATGTGTGTTAAGTTTCATGAAATCTGTTCAGATTTAGATATAACTTCTATATCTGACCAAATTAACAATTTAGTATCGGTTGCAGAATGACGTGTTTATGGTTCCAATTTCCTTTTTCTGGTAATTTAAAAATGCGACGTCTGTTAGGATTTATCTGTTAAATATACTCAGAGTGGTGAAGGGTATCATATAGTCGGCCCCGTCCGACTTTACTACTTTCCTTACTGGTTTTTGAATGTTTTCAGGGACTGTATATTTTTTATGATTATTTGAGGATCGAAGACATTACAAAAAATTTTTGAGGGACTAACAATGATAATATTTTCCCCACTCTTTTCTTTTATACTTCTATGCTTTCTATTCACATCATGAGAATCATAATTCCACATTAATTCTCTCAACGAATACCCAAATGGACTTAAAACGGATATCAGAAAATGTCTTGCTTTAAGCTTTAAAAACCAACTAACCTACATAATGATGCATAGATTTATACAAATAGATATTTATGATAATAATTTACATTTAGTTGGCTATTTTAGCTTGTCTTAAAGTGGATATGTATACATTTGTATATATGGATAGGTGTATGTTTACGTCTGGGTTTTAGTATTAAAAGCGATAAAAGCTTTCTAACAAATTTATTAACAATCTGATTACGGGCCAATTTTGTAAAGAGAGCTATGTATGTATACGTATATTTGCAGCTGGTTCATTAATATTATCTAAAATGATTATGAATTTATGTTTATGCGTTGATGTGTAGGTATAGGCTTATGTGTATGTGTGTGTATTGCTGTGTATTTTGTATATCACCATACTACAAACAAAAAGCGTCATATCTGATGATTCTTTCGCTCCCATTATTATGCACAACTACAAACTAAACAACAACAACAATAACCAATGAAACAAAAAGCAATAATAACAACAACGATAGCAAGAACAATAATTATGATTATAATGATAATAAGGATAAGAATAAGGATATACTAATGGAAAAACAAAACAAATGACAATAGGCTACAGCAGATATAGTTTTAGAGTTCGTAATGAGCGGAAGAGAGATAGATAGCAAGAAAGGCAATAAACTCAAAACAGAACAAAAAACAAATCAAGGATAATGAAAATGAATGATTCAAGGAAAGCTAATGGAAAACTTAATCGAACTGAAATTGATTAACAACAACAACGTCAACAACGCAGGAGAATAAGAAGCAGCAAGTTTTTAACAAACTAGAAAACAAAATTGTTAAGCAAAATATTACGCTTGGGAGAAGGTAGGATAGAACGAGTGCAACTTAAAAAAAATACGCAAAACGAAAGACGAAGTTTTAGTTTGGGAAATTCAATGCCCTCTTACCTGGAAACGGGCTGTCATACGTTGCTTGAAACTCTGGGCAGCCTTGGGATCGGCCAAACGCATATCCTGATATTTCTCTTCCAAATCCGACCAGTCCTTCATGACACGGGTGACCTTTTCACGGTGCGATTCCTCGAGGCGCTGTTGGGCTTCCTTTTTTTAGAATTTATTTGGTTTTGATAAATAAGATGCCTAAGCATGTGAAAACACTTACTTTTTGACTTACTTTGTAGCTCTGGTGTTCATAGTGTGGATCGAAGTGAGTGAAGTAGGGATCGGGTGTGGGTTGACCGGTTGTGGGTGGCATTGGTAAATCGCCATTGTTGTTTCCGTTGCCGTTGGTCTTGCCATCTAACATCGATCCACCAGATTTCTCCAAATCCTTCGAATTTGTTGGTTTGTTCGATGGTTTGGCACCACTTGAGCTACCTTGTTGTTGATCGTAGGTGGAGTCAACGGGATCCTCCTCATAGTTATCCTCACCCGAATCGTATTCAGCATTGATATCATCACCAGTGGCAGTAGCATCATCGGCAGCCATTTCATCTTCTTCATCATCGGCCAACAAATCATCCTCATCGTCTTCATCCTCAATATCATCGGCGGTATCCTTGGAATAGTTGGAATCATTATCATCGCTGCTAATGTCATCCAAGTCATCATTCATGGCATTGGGCATTTCGACAGGTGGCATGACGGGTAAATCGGTTTTCTTTACACGGATTTCGTCAGCTGGAAAAATAAAAGTTTAGAGCGTTTTGGTTAGCAACAAAATTTGTACTAAATTTTAGCATAGGAAAGGGAGATAAATAATGTCGAATCTATAAAATTGAGCAATATAGGGTTTAATCATATCCCCGGAAAATTCCTAAATACCATACGGAGTTAAAATATTTCTCTATCTCGAAATTAGTTTGAAAGCAAAGGTACGAGGGCTACTATTTACATTTCAACCCTAAGTGTGTTTGGGCGCTATCTGATAATTCAATTGCCATTCGAATTCTAGCCGTTCATTGTCCATGTTTTGAAGGTGTCTCAACCGTAGTGGAAAAAGTGCTTCGACAATTGGTTTGGGCGCAATAAAAAGTGTATAAATACGCCGTAGACCCGAAATATATATACCGGAGCATTAATACAATTGGAGATTATGAACCCTTGCATTTCATAAGAAAATATTATAATTGTTTTTTTTTTGCTTAGTGAAATAAAATTGATGCATAGCAGGAGAAGAAGAAATGTGAAATAGGAGAAATATAGGGTTAACCTTTGAATACGTTTTGTGTTGGAAAGGGAAGTGAGTAGAAGTTAGGATTGGGGAAATGAAGAAGTTTTGAAAAAGTAATTGCAGAAGTATAGGAGCCAGAACTTATTTTATAAATAGGATATTTGAGGTTTTTGTACTATGCACAACAAATAACACGATTACTTGTTATAGTCGCATTGGCTTAGAAAATTTTCTTGGGACCACCATCATCTGGAAATAATGGTGCCTTATATGAGAGCTATTTTCCATGGAGAAAGTTTTTCCTCTCAAAGGATTCGGTGTCTATTTTCAGTCATAATATTTTCATTTTCAATACGAACCAGTAAGGAAAATAGTAAAGTTGGACGTCCCAACTTTATGATACCCTTTACAACTTTTGGTATATTAAAAAGAGATGCATCCTAACAGAAGTCTCATTTTTGAAGGACCATTAATTGGACGAACTTAATTATGAGATCTTTATATATGTGAAACGACTAAAATTAATCCATGCACATGCCATTCTGCAACCTATGCTAAATTTCTTTTCATTCGTACCGATACGAAGCCGTTCGCTTACAATTTGACAAATGTAACTAAATAGATTGAGAGCAATCAGACACCCGTTGATTATTTGGTGCACAAAGAACATGAATTTGGTCGAAAATATTTATAAGAGCTATGTTGTGCAAAATTTCGTGTCAATCTGACAATTTTGGTGCACCATTTACCTAAAATCGGTCGAAAACATATATGTGAGCTATATATAAATTTGAACCTATTTCAATGAAGCTTACGCATATCAATCTCGAGTCAAGTCAGTAGACTACGTACAAAAAAAAAAAAAAAAAAAAAAAAAAATATGGGAGCTATATCTAAATCTGAACCAATTTTCACCAAACGTAACAGCCGTCATTATAGACTCAATACGGTCTTCTGAATTTGGTCTTAGTCGGAAAACATTGGGAGTTTGGGGCACCGTTTAAATCAAATCGGACGAATATATATCTGAAACTGAACCGATTATACGAAACCCATGTAATTTACTACTCTCTCCATAATATTGTCGCAATTGGACCCACTTTGGGGAGCTATATGTAAATATGAACCGATTTTTGCAATTTCAATCGGGTTCGTCATTGGGCCAAATAAGTGACCTGTACCATCCAATTCGGATCATAAACGCGGCCTGTACATTGCTCATAAAAATACATGTAGGGACAGACATACATAAATCGGCTCAGAAAGTGATTCTATGCATATTCTCTGAAGGCACCACGTAATACCCAGTATCACAGAGTGTTGCAGTGTATAAGATTCCCTTACAGTTCAGATTTTCCTATTAGATTATATAAGCAATTCCAGAGGGTAAAATTTTCCTAAAGTCCTTGGGACAAAACGTCCTAAAATACATGCGAAAATTGTATCTTTTAATGCGCTATAGGACCTATCTACCCTCCACCATAGTACGGAGGGCATATTGAATTTTTTTCCGTTTGTAACTCATCGAAATATTCACTTCCGACTTCCTATAAAATATATTTATATATTCTTGATCAGGTTAAAATTTTATGACGATTTAAGCATTCCCATCTGTCTGTTGTAATCACTCTAGCCTCTAAACAAATTGAGATAGATGACAAAAATTTACCCAAATATGGGTAAACCCCCTTATTTTTGATGTTTTGAGGCTCTTTAGTGCGCTTTTTAATCAAATTCGCTGAAATTTGGTTCAATGGGTACTTATTGGGTACCATATTTCTCCACTAAAAAGTATAAATATCGCTCTACTTTTTAGGTAGCCCTCATATAACGGAACCCTCAAATTTTTCGGTATTTTGGGTGTTTGTATCGGGTTTCTCAACCAAATTTTGTAACAAATCTCCCTTTAAAAAAAATTATATATATTCGCCCCCGCCCTTCTAGGCGTAGTCCCATATAACCACCTTTTTCATATTGGCTAACTGATATGTTACGCGTTTTGGGGTTGTCTCCATACATATAAGTATGGGGGAAATTCTGTCCTCAAAATTATCAGTTTATACCCTACAAATGTGGAATTTTAAGACGATTTAGCCATCTGTTGTAAGCATTCTACCTTCGGAGGTTACCGAGATAAATAACTAAAACATCAAGTTCCATAATGAACTATAACGGTCTGCATTTAGGCCCAGCCCTTATATAAAAAACAAACTGATTTAATATTTAGGGTAAAGGAAGGTATTATGTTACAAAACGAAAATGGTAGTTTCGAAATTGAGCTTTCTCGGTCCTCAATTTCGTATAGTCCCTCATGTAATGATAACTTAAAATGTTCGGTTATTCCTATGTAAATCACCATTTGGTATAGCCCCACATATAAATTTGCCCTGTAAATTGCAGTATTTTGAGGATTTTATAAACACGTTGCATCCTACCATGCGTTATCAATATCGGACCACGATTTGGTGTTTTGATATTTTTGAAGAAAAATCCCTATTAAATATTGCTGAAATTTTACTTCGTGTGTATTTCGGTATATATATATATATATATACCCCATAATTTCTTACATCAAACACGGTGTTGGAATTTGAATTTCAACTAACTGTCAGTATACCTATGGTGGAGAGTATTCAAAGTTCGGTCCGGTCGAAATGACGTTTTTTCACATGGTAATCTCTTATTTGTATCACAAAATTACTACTTTAATGTAACATTTAAATTTTGTGTGTTTCCCCTTACTCAGGATTAGCAAAAAACCCCATTTTATCCCCACCTAGTTTACATTTCCCGGTTAGGTCATTTAGGTTCTGGAAAACAAACAATTGCCCTTTTCTAATGTTTTCACAACTTCTAATGAATGATGTTTTTTTCATCATATACACACACAATCAAGGGATCACACTAAACCAGGCGAGGAGCAAACAAATGCGGGGAAATTGTTTACAATTTTTGTTTCGTTTTTGAGGGGACATAGCATATTGGTTTCTACTCACTTTTGAAATGTTTGGGACAGCACACAAATTCAACACCCGAAAACAGGGAGATGCCACAGGGTAGCAACATGGCAAAGCTGCGCATTTGCATGCCACGTTCTTGACAGGCGGCAGCACCGGTTTGATTCCACCTAACGAAAGGCCAGCAGCGTGAGGCATTGTGAATGTGATCGAAGAGGCAACCTTCGGGTACCAATAACGCATCCGATTGGAAGGGTCCTTCTGAAAGTAATACACACACCCATATAAACATCAAATCGTAAACAAATCACTTACATTGTTCGAAGGTTGGTTGGCTGGTTGGTAGATAGGTAGGCTTTGATTGTTTTTGTTTTTTTTTTTCATTGATTCGATTTGTTTTTATAATGCCAGTCTAGGGACCCAGGCATTCAATAATTCTCTTTTAATGAACAATGTACAAACACATATATACGCACACAGATACACACATGGATTGTTTTGTGTCCGTGTGTAGCCTCCAAACAACAATGTAACATCACTCACAATGAATTGGACTTACCCAAGCAACGGAATGGCTTAATCCAACGATGGGCTCCCTTGCACTTGTTGGCATTCAAAGCTCCCTGACGACACCAGCCGCCAATTTTCTGATAGTGTGATGACTCCACAATATTGGTGATATCTCTGTTGGGATAAGCCTGCAATGGAGTAGAAAATAACAACAACAAATGAGTAACGGAGTGAGAATGAAAAAGAGAAAAAGAGAGAGGGGAAATAAGAGAGCGGGACTATGTTTATTTTAGAATTTTTGCTGCATAGCATAGGGCGCTAAATAACTAGCCCGTTTGCCAATATGTATGCATGTTGGAGCTGCGTATTAAGGCGGGCGGGTTTAGTTGTAAATGGAGCGGAACAAATCGATTTCCATGCATAGTCTCACAAGTTGATGTTGTTGCAGTTGTTGCCGTTGCAGCCTTAAAAATTGAATATGTCTGTCGAAAACACATCCACTACTGCATTGCAACTGACCATGAGGTGATTTTGCTTTCATGGGATTTTTACAAAACAGAGAGTTTTCTTTTTTTTCATGTTGCCAAAATCTAACTGCAATGTATTGCATAGTTGTTTTTTGCCATTGTTTGTGCGTGTGTGTTTTTTTTTGGCAACATGAAAATGATGGTTCCTAACAGACTAGCCGACCAGGCTTGCCTGCCAACCTCCCTAGCTGGTCATGCATTGTTTACAAAGTTTCATTCGTTCAACATCAACAAAAATCCAACTAAATTGAGTTTGGATTTTTGTAGACTGTCAGAGTTTTATGCAGATTTGTTGTTTCTACGATTTTACAATGAAAAATAAAAAACGAAGAAAAATGTAACAACAATATTTGAATTGGCTTTGAGTTCGATTTGAAAAAAAACCAAAAAATATTTTGGCAATTTAAATATTGAAAGAAATTGGTTATTTTTTCGAAAACGGCTTTATTTTGTTAGTCGAGATTTGTTGTTGTTAGAGGAAAGTTTGTTTAAAATAATATTCAATTTCCTGCGAAATATAGATTGAAGGGTGGCCTTCTATAAATTGAAATCTGGCCTTCGGTAGATGAAAGTCAGGATTTTTTATACATGTAAAACTGGGATTCTATGGATACAGCATTGAACTTCCAAGAACATACTTTCTATGAATAGAAGAAGGCCGGACTCATTTAAATTATTGAGTGAGCTATGGTATAATGCTGGCCTTCTTCGAAATAGAGTGTGAATAAAAGAATGACCTTCTATAAATAGAAATCTGGTCTACTCTAGATGAAAGTCAGTTTTTTATAAATACAAGTTTGGGTTTCATGGGATAAATGATTGACCTTCTGGGAACAGACGTCTAACTTTTTAGGCCGGACTCATTTAAATTATTGAGTGAGCTATGGTATAATGCTGGCCTTCTTCGAAATAGAGTGTGAATAAAAGAATGACCTTCTATAAATAGAAATCGGGTCTACTCTAGATGAAAGTCAGTTTTTTATAAATACAAGTTTGGGTTTCATGGGATAAATGTTTGACCTTCTGGGAACAGACGTCTAACTTTCTATGAATAGAAGAAAAATGGCTTCATTTAAATAGAAGACTGAATATTATAGATGGAAGGGTGGCTTTCTTAAAATGGAGAAATGATCTTCTACAATAAAAACGTTTATATAGTCGAGTTAGATTTTATTAATCCATACACGAAATGTGTAAAATTAGAAATTTTGAATCTTATGACATAAATGTTCAGATGAGTGCAAATGTCGAAAAAATGCTCAGGATCGGAATATAGATCCACAGAAAGTAAGACTCGTGCTATTTGTGTAGTGTATCATATGGTCGGTTCTGTCCGAATATACTGCTTCGCTCACTGGTTTTTACTGGTTTGGTATTGTTATACCCTCCACCAATAAGTGAAGTGTATATTAAATTTGTCACTCCGTTTGTAACAACTCGAAATGTCGACCGGAGATCCCATAAAGTATATATTAGGTTGGTGAAAAATAAATCCATTAGGCCGGTCGTCGAAAATGTCGATATAATCGGAGAAATGATCGAAGTTGATCGGCATATTAGCAGTCGTAACATCGTCCAGGAGCTAAAAATCGACCATAAAACCGTTTTGAACCATTTTCACAAATCTGGATTTAAAAAAAGAAGATCGAAGTTTGGGTGCCACACCACTAAACAGAAACAAATAGGATGGATGCGAAGCCTTGCCCATTTCTTAAACGGTTGGTGACTAGAAATGTGAAATGGATCACATACGATAACCCTGTGCGAAAAAGATCGTGGCCAAAGAACTGTGAAGCGCCTCAAACGGTGGCCAAACCAGGACTAACGGCCAGGAAGGTTCTGCTATGCATTTAGTGGGTCTAAAAGGGGATTATTAGTTGCTTCCATATGACCAAACGCTAAATTCTGATCTCTACTGGCAACAACTGTACCGTTTGAGGATAGCAATTGACCAGAAACGGCCAGAATTGGCCAACAGGAGAGGTGTCGTGTTCCACCAAGACAACGCTAGACCACACACATTTAAAGTGACTCGCCAGAAACTTCGGGAGCTTGGTTGGGAAGTCCGGACTTGGCACCAGCGATTATCATCTTTTTCTTGCATTGCCAAATTCCTTTAATAATAAAAATTGGTATCTAGAATTTTTCGCAAATAGAGAGCAGGACTTCTATGAGAGAGGCAATATGAAGTTACCTTTACCTTAACAAAACGATGCAAATCGCACATTCCGAAACATGATAAATATAGTCCTATTGTTCATATTAAAATAATGGGTTTCTTTTTCCCCAACCTAATAGTAGGGGGTTTTACATGCGCTTTTGGCTGCAATTTTAAACTATTGATTCTAATTGAGTATCAAAATTTATCAATATCGACCCGCGATTGTTTTTTTAGCCCAATCCAATGAGAGTATCTATAGTATTTCGGTATAGTCCGATCGATTTTGAAGTTTTTACTTGCTTAAAACTCATTTCCATTTGTACTGCCAGCAAGCAGCTTACACCATTTTACACATTATTCTGTATTTATAAGCTAATTCCATTGATATTTAACCAACCATCCATATCATTCAATAGAGTATATTCTACCTTCTTTATAGCATTCCCTCACATTACCTGTCGTATAGGAAATCCATTGATTTCATTCCATGCTGTACCCAGACTTAAATGTCCTATGAACTTTCGTAGAAATTTTATAGCCCGAAACATCGTCATGTTAATTACATTTTCTTTGACTCGGACTCTCTGACTCAATACAGTTTTCAGACTAATAAAATTTAAGTCTTTTGTAAGTGTTGTGGTTGTATGGGTTTCCTTTGTAAAACGACCAACAATCAACTAACTTCATATACAGCAACATATTATACCAATACCTATACATACACACACACACGCATATGGTAAGACTGATTGCTTAGACATTTACAATTTCATTAGATTGTTATTTATATACACACACATACAAGATGGGATTTTTGTTACGAAAAGTAATTTCATTAAGGGGACCCCCCCCCCCATTCTCGGGGTCAAAATTTTTGTTGATATAATTCGAATCTACACTGTATAAAGAATGTCTCTACAAAATTTCAAGTGAAAATCTCGAGAACTCTTGAAGATATAGCCGATTTATTGTGTCAGCATCAAGTGACGGCTGAAGGGCTTCTCAAACTTTAAACGCGTTTTCCTCTAAACATTTTTTTGCGAATGGCGGGCACGATAACTCAAAAACTAATAATCCAATCGGTTCCAAATTTTGCAACGTTTCTCTGGGAGTGTATAGCTCTCGTATGAACTAGGATAAAGCCAATCGGTGAAGATCTTCCTTATTTTTTAACTTGGTTTTTTTTCAAAGGTCCACCATTTTGTTAATATTAGAGCGAAGTCAATAATCCTAATTCATACGAGAGCCAGACATGTACTCTTTCTAACACCGTTGGAATTTTCGGATTCCGATGTTCCAGTGAGGAGTTATCATGCCCGCCATCAAAAATAAAGACTTTTCTTTAATTACAAAAAACAACAACAAAACAATAACAAAAATTTTTTGTAAATTATTTTTCTTCTCTTTTAAATCTTCAATTATATATGTGCAAAGTTACAAACCTTAACAAGCATTGGTATTGATTTACCAGCCCATTGAAAATCTTGAAAAATTAAAATCGAGAATGGGTGGGGTCCCCTTAAGTCTCAAAATGTATGGATGGATTTTTGATTTTTCAATAATGGGTTTAGGGGGGTGGTCTGCATCTGCATCAATGGTAAACAACACGACCACCGGACCAAGTCAAACTACCAAGAATGAAAGCCAAGAAATATACGAGTATCTGACAGGAATATAAATGTAGTAGCAGTAGCCTGGGCTTCTTTCTGGGTTTTGGTGCAACTTTATTATACGCTTTTATATGTTAATTGCTAATATTTGCCTCAAGGATCTTAGCATGTTCGGCATGTGTGTGTAGAAATGCGAGACTAAATGTGAGAGAGAAAGGGAGAGAGCAAGCCATTGCCTTGTTATATTTTTGGTAAATTAATGCATTAGTTCATTAAGAGTCCATTGCACTAACGAAGTGATTGGCTGACTGACGGACTGACTGGCATGCCTGTAAAATGCTGAACAATTGACAACATGAAAAATTATAGCATACTTTTAGGTAGGTGTAATGGATAATCGAATAACATAGAATAGTTTTGGTTAGAAAGTTTGTTAATGGATTTACATAAATGTGTGTGTGAGAGTGGGTGAGTGAGCGTGTGTATGCCTGGCATTGACATATAATTTACATGGCTTAATAGTCATAGCGTAGAAGTAGATTAAATATTTTAGTCTCATGCCCCAATGTTAGGCCATCAGTATTTATGGCTATAATCAAATTTTAAAGTTCAATGAATGATTACAAATGCCAACAATGTAAGTAGTTTGCAGTAAATAATAGTCATGTTATATTTGAGTAAATATGTAGTAGAGGGAATATTGAAATGGAAATCTATTACAAATGCGAATCAATTGATGTGGGAGGACACAGACGACACAACTAGTCCCTGAATCAAATATGGACAGGGATTAAAATCCAATTTCGGACAAAGATTGTTTTTTAATGGAGCGTGGAAAACAGGTACATCTTATTATAGACTGACTGAGTGAAGGGTTCCTTTTACAGGATAAGTTATACATACATAAAAATACGTTACGGATCTTCTTTCCGGAAATTATCTAAGTCCATTTGATTCTATTATGTTTGGGGTGCCCAAATGTTTATTCATAGAGACCTTTAGCCGTGTCTTTCTGTGTACAAGACGTCGATGTTGGGCATTGCACTATGGAATTGAAATAGGAATTACAGAAGGTTTGCATGTTTTAAAAATTTATTCGAAACAGGAAATATTATTTTTAACATTATCTATTATGTTTGGCCTGTGGAGATGTTTATTCACAGAGAGCTTTTGTAATGACTTTCTGTGTGTAAGGCATTGATAATGGGCATTGCACCATTTAGATTTTCCCACAGATCGTCGATCCCATCGCCTTACCAATAAATATTTCCATTCAATTGAATATATCAAATAAATTGTCCCAAACATTGTCCAATTGATTGCTCTGCTTTCTCTATCAAAGAATTGTAGATATTTTATGTTAAATTTTTTTATTTTCAAAAGAAAAATTCTATTGCATACTTTATGGGTGCCAAATAAATTGCCTACTCTTTGTGGCATTGCAAAAAAAAAATGTTTTTGTTTTCTGTGAACTTTTTTTCCAAATGGAAAAAATCGATTGTTGCTCGTTCGCTGGCATTTAAATGTATTCACTTTGTTGTTGTTATTTAAATATTCCCAACTATTAAACGACCATTTATTAGAAACAAAGGACAATTGTTCGACACACACACACAAACACATATATAGAGCTTAATGTATTTGTATTGTATTGCCATGATTTCGCATTTGCTATTTGGTGTGATAAAATCCATTTTCAACACACATTTGTTGGGGATATTTGATTGGCGAAAACCAAAAGACAATTATTGTCAATGCAAATGAAATACATATGCGAAAAAAACGGAATAAAAAACCTAACTAACAATAACAATAAAAACCAGTTACAAAATTAAAGGATTTAACAAAAAATTAAATTTAAGTAATTCTTGAAATTTTTTCAACATTTAAGCAACTATAGCTTTATTTTTTTTTTGTAAAATACGTCATCGAAGTCTTTATTTCTTATGAATATTTTTTTAAACGTCACGAGTCTTGATTTTTATACCTTACACAACTATGTTGTCAGGGTATTATAGCTTTGTGCAGCCAAAAGAGTTTGTAACGCCGCGAAATATTGGTCCTAGACCCACCTTTAAGTATACCGATCGTCATATCTCGACTAGCTGAGTCGATAAAGACATGTGCGTCCGTCCGTCCGTCTGTCCATTATAATTTGTAAACACGATACAGGCCACCGTTATGGACCAATCATCACCAAATTTTGCATGGAGGATAGGTTCGGCCCAATGAAGATCCCTATTGTTTTTGGTAAATATTGGTTAATATTTAATGGATGAAATGGACCAAATACTTAATTTTTGTCGATTTTTCTGGTCGCTCCAGAGACCGCAGTTATGGTCCGAACATCGTGAAATTTTACATGGAGAAGAGGATCGTGTCAAAGAATAAGCATGCCTGCTTTGATAAAGATCGGTCCATATATAGCGGGTCAAATGGACCCTGACTTTTGTGTGAAAAATTACAAAATTTTTATTCTGGGGCGTATATACTTGCTCCTGAAGGACATATACCCGAGAAGTTGATAGTATATCCAAGAGGAGTTGTTGACCTTCAAATTGATACCAAACTTATGGCAGCATGTACTCTGATGTGGGAGTTATATGTAATTAGGTAAAGGTGACTATGTGCATATTTGAATATGTAAATGAACATGTGATTATTGTCAAGTACGACGTCTGTAGTTTTCGGTGAAGTTGAGATTTCATTCTGGGGGTGCAATGAACTGAAAACTTTAGTTGCTCTAGAGGCAATTATTATATGCAGAACATCACATATTTTACAAGGTGAAGCGGATCTGACCAAATACTTAGAGCGCTGTTTAGATGATGATCGACCAATATTCAAGAAAAAAAATTGGAAAATATTCCAGGGTTAGAAATTGAAGTTGTTGATCTATAATCTGTAAAAAGGGTGCAAATATCTCGAAATATTGCCCAGGCTCAGAATATAGAATTGCAGAAAGTTTGATTTTCGTGGTAGTTGTGTAGGGTATCATATGGTCGGCCCCGTCCGACTATAATGCTCCGCTCACTGGTTTATAAATATGTTTTAAATGTCATCGAAGATTTTCTTATACTTTTTTTCAAGGACCTTTTAAAGAAAAAACTAATAAAATATTAACAGAAGAGCGAAGTTTGGCAAATATTTTGCATATTCTCAATCCTGTATTTCTGAATAAACATATTTTAACCAAAATAATCTAACAAGTTTTTTTTTAATTTGTCAAAGACAGACTGAAGTTTGTTTTGATTTTTAATTATTTTTTTCAAAAGTCATCTAAAACTTGGATTGTCTATAAATATATTTTCAAGAGCCCTCTGAAGCGTGGGGCTTTTATATGTTTTTTTATAAATTACCTGGAGTGTGGATTTTAAACATTTTTTTTCAAAGATTATATAAAGTTTCGATTTTTAAAAATTCCTTTTTTATAGATTGTCAGAAGCGTAATTTTTT